TTCCCTTTTTTATATATATTCAAACAAATGGTTTGGTTGAAATGTAATATATAATCTTTTTTATATAAATGTATCAAAAATATAAATTCATCTCCCCTTGTACGTCTCCTGAATAGTTTTATACAATTTTTATAGGTATATCGCATTAAACGTGTTCTCTCAATTATGCCTTGTGGAAACGCACGAGGGATATGATATAGTATATAAAGTCCTAATTAACGTAAGTATTTCAATCGGAGCTTATTCATTTATGTTCGTCATTGACGATAGTTGTAATTCAAACGTCCGCAAACCTGAAGTTCGGCAAATTCGTAAAACGGTCTAATTCGCCGATAAGCAACTTCATAGTAGCTACTAAAGTAAAGCAACTAAGAAAATTTTAATCTCATATCTATCATCTTTAAAATAAAAAAAAAATGAAAAATATGGAATTCGATACTCGATATTGAATGGATTCGAACGTTCTTTCCCATTTTCCGCAACCGGGGGAGTGTATGACACACGCGGACAGATATGCCTAGAACGATTCAGAATTCGATACTGGTTATACAATTTCTAAAGTTTTCTTTTACACCTTTCAGATTGGTGAAAAAATATGTGAATGAAAAGTTAGCATTTATAAATAAGATATCATATTAATATATAATATAAATAGTGAAAGGGTAAATATCAAGGGCAGATGCGAAAATTACTCCGAACTGTCAACTGCAGTGTCCATAATTATTAAAGCAGCTTTGCAATAAATTTAGATGTTTTTTTTCACTTATTTGTTCATGGAATTTAGATAAGACAAACTTACAGTTTAATTACATTGCAACTTAATAATAAACCTGTATAGATTCGAGTTGGGAATGAATTCCATTTGAAATGATCCTATTGAGCCAACAATAGTAGCAGACCTAAGTAGTAGTAGACCTAAGATTTATTCCAAAGTGAATATATATTTGTGTTATATTTGCCTTACCTCTGCAAAAACACTTAAGAAGAGCACATTTGTTCGCTCTTACTCCTCTTAAAATTGACGCGGGCAATTATGAAGCACATATATGGTGTATAACGTTCAAGATAAGCTCGCGGAAACAAACTTTTTTTTTATCAAATATTGTAGCTGTTTAATTATTTTTTAGTAAAATTCCCCTCGTCGATCCTCTGGCACACTTATAATTTGTGCAGCACCCCCATGTTCGTATATGTTTGTTTTATCTAAGAGTACAAAAGATATACTGCTAACTTTTCCGTAAAGCTATTAATATTTTTT